GCTGTCGGCGTGGGCAAGCTGTTGTAAGTAAAGCGTTCGGCTGATCTAACTGTTTTGACCGTCGGGAAGTGTACAGCTTCATACAGACTTTAAGTAATGAGGAAACCTCTCTTCAGGCATTTCCAGATCTTGTTTTTATTTGCTAAGCGTGCTAACACTTCAGTTTTATTTTTTTGTAAAGCTTTCCCTAAAGAAGAATTATCAGTGAAGAGACTTTTGGTAAGTTGAGAATTGGATGTGGCTGGGGGGGTTGCAATAAAACCATCAGGATGTGATGGTGAAGTCATATGTTGAAATTCATCAGTAGCCCATGTGTAAGGTGAAGAAAGTAAAAGGGCACTTAAGGGAAAACAAAGGGAGTGAGTACACCTGTCGAATATAGAAGGGCATCATAGCAGAACAGAACTCGTTTTTTAAACAGTAAGGTGATGAGGTATTTAAAGTAAAGTTAATAATTGGACTAGGTGACCAGACTAACTTCTTAAATCCTAACTTCTGCTCCTGTCTGGTAAAGCCTTCATGAATTGGAGGATCACCTCTTTTTCTTCCTTCTCGGTGTGGGATTGGCAGAGGTTGGGAATATCCATCAGTCTGGTGTCTGTGTGGCCTGGTAGGAGTAAATTATGTGAGCGTCTTTCTACTGGCAGCACCTACCTGAGGGGACAGTCATCCTAGAAAAGTGATGTTGATCAACCTTGGGGATGTTTTTTGCCCCCTGTGTTCAAAAGCAATACTTAAGTTAATGGAAGCTGAAGAGAAGCCATACTCTGGGGAAGCTGAAGGCAAATAGTTCACAGCCAGGTATCAGGAGGAAAGGATGAATGTCTAGATTTTGTTTAGGGGTGTTTTAAAACCAGCGCTCTTGAGCCCAAAGAGCTGCAGGAGTGTGAGGCCCCTTCTAACTCAGACAAGAAGGGAAGGGAACGAGTTTTCTGTTGTAGGAATTAACCTTCATGTCTTCTGACACCTGAAGTCTGTTTTATAATCATGTTGCTTCTAAGCAGTAGTTGTGTGTAGTCTTTTATCTCAGCGAAGGTGCTGGGATAAGAAACATGCTCCATTTATCCTGGAGGCCAGTTACTTCACACAGTGATTGATATTCATTAAATAATGGTATGCAGATTCTTCTAGGCATGGCAAGCTTCAAATTTGTGCCTCAAATGTACTTCAAAATGTTTGCTAATGCATCATCAGTGTAAGATCATCCTGTTTAATGTCTGTGATGAATCTGTGTGGGACATCCGAAAGGAAAGGGAACCTGCAAACCTGAGGGAGAGTTTTGTATGCAACACACATGATGTTTTCAGCAACTCAGTTGTTCTAGAACTGTGCTGACAAGGGCACTACTGGGGATATCACTGAAGAGGAAAAACAGCTGTGTTCATTCTAGCTTGCTTTGGAGACCAGGGGAAATGTACAGTGTGTGTAATTAAAGGATGGAGAGAGAGGAACATTACATTTTAATTGTAAAAGTGTTGCACAAAGAGTAATGACTTAATGTGGCCTTAATCCATAGTTTTAGCTTCTGGTTATTTATGAAGTGTAGCAACTCCATCAAAACCCAAGTCTTGTCAATATTGGAAGAATCAACACCGTCTGGCTGGTTGGCTTTGGAACATTAATCTAGCCTACCTGTCGTAAGTAAGCTATGGGGAAAACACTAATGACACTGAAAACTCAGCTATCTCAGGAACAAAAAACACGTTAATGTTCAAATAAATATGATTATTTGTACAGATTTTTGTATTGTAGTTTACTTTTTTTCGTGTTGACAATTTCTTTTAATTGACAGCTCTTAACATTTGGACAAGCAGAAAAATGGCATCAGAAGACATCACTAAGCTTGCAGAGTCACTTGCCAAAACCAAAGTGGGTGGTGGACAGTTGAGCTTCAAAGGCCAGAGCCTTAAACTCAATACAGCTGAAGATGGTAAGAGAAAATATGCTTGTGTTTGGGAAGTGTCTCCCGGAAATTCTAAAGGTTTGCAGTAAAACCGCCTGCTAATCCTGCAGGGCCAAGTTGTCATAATATTAGCTGTGATGCAAGGGTCATTCAGCTACAGCTGCTTCTCCTAGAGATGTTTCCTTCCCTTTTTGTACCCTGCTTTGACATGGTGCCCTGGCAGTGCTACAGCTGGCAGAATTGGGGTTTGGCTCCCTGGTGTGTAATTCTTGTTTTCTTGGTGTTGTCTCCAAGTGCTTTTGACAGTCACTGTGCATTAGAAGTGAGTGCTTCTTTTAAAAACAGTAAGCAAGTGGATGACAGCTCTTGGAACAAGTAGACGCTTCAAAGACCTGCACAGAGGAATGGGCTGATATGTTAATCCACTGCAATAGTCCAGTTTCTTCACAAATTCTGACCAATTTGCTAGACTCTTGTTTTTTTTCTGGAATATCTCTTGCTGGTGTATGTGTGTTTCCCAGTTAAAAATGTCCTGCAGTGGCTGCAATTGTAGTAAATACCTGGAGAATATGTGTACGTTCTTAGATCAACGTCTCTCTCACACCAAGAAATAGCATATTCTTCAGAGAAGTTATGTGCTATAGTGTGTACATTTTTTACTGATTCCAAATGCGATGCTTTTTTATATGCTACTTCAGTAGTGCAAAGCTGCTGAACTATGGGGAGAGGCTTTGGAGCTTGGGAATAACAAGTGCCTATTGACACTATTGACAGAACAGAGTCTGCAGCCTGCTCCTGTGTCTTGCATAGGATTAGTCTAGAGTTAAATTGTTCCACCCTGACATGTTTGCTAAACAGGCATCTGCTTTTGCCGATCAGTGGGAACTTCTTCCTGTTGCTGTGGCACCAATTTCCATCAACTTTTAGCTTAGCAGTCCTTGCATCTTTGTAGGCACATGCACTCTAGCTCCTAAACCATGTGCTGCATGGCAGAGGAATCGTGCTTATGAAGTAAGGAAACTTTACTTTTGTGAATGGAAGGATGGCTATCAGAGAATAGAACCAGAAATAAATTGTGAAAAGGCATAGCGGGGAATGGAGAACCTTCTCTTTTGTGACCTGACGCTTTAGGTTACTGTTCCCATTACTGTTTCAGGATTCTTTCAGATAATGTTGCTCTGCTAAGGGTAGAGTTGAGCAGGTATTGCTGCATCAGAGTGTTACTGTGATACCTAAGATGATAATTAAAAGGCCAGCTAGACTATCTGCTTTTTGCAGCTGAAGAAGTGATCAAGCAAATTGAGGAATTTGGTGGCCTGGAAGCATTGCGCCTGGAAGGCAACACAGTGGGTGTGGAGGCAGCAAAGGTCATTGCCAAAGCCTTGGAGAAGAAATCGGAGCTGAAGGTGAGATCCTCAAGTGGGTGGTGGTGAGGGGAAGAAGGCCTCTCTATGCTCTTCCTGCAGTAGCCTGCTTTGAGTTAGCTCCAGAGCTTCCTTGGTGGGTTCTATCCCACTTTGGGATAATGGGAGCACTTTCTGCAATCCTAACTGTTCCTGTTCAGAAGGCTTCCAGTCTTAAAGCCTGGGAAGCTGTGGAAAGAGGAGCCTCTCTGCAGAGGCAGCATCTGTGAACAAAGAACTGTGGCAACAAAACCTAAGTTCTAATGGAAAAGCTGGGTCATATCTTCTGGAGAATGATCAGATCTTCTGAAGATTGTGTCTTCAGAGAATGCCTGAATAGGGAAGAAATAATGGAGCAAATGCACCAGGAGGTTTTTCTGTGTCCAAGCTATGTTTCCCTGCGACTGTTCTAGCCTAACGTTAGAAGGATGCTGTGCTGCTAGAGGCGCTGTCCTTTGCAGGAGAGGAGTATGAAATATTGATTCAGGTTAATCACCCAAGTGTAGCTTTTCAAGCAAGTCCAGATTGCTGAGCTCCATACCTTAGTAAAATCTGCATTCCTAATGTATCTTCCAGTTTCCGTCTGCTTTGTCCTGAGGTAATTTTCTCAGCAGAAAAGAGGTCCAGCTTCAATGCAAACAAGAATTCTTGTATAGTGTTATTTACAATGTGCATTTCAGTGGTGTTATGTCCTTGCAAGTGAAGTAATTGTAACGTTACTTCTCGTGGCTTCTTAGTACAATCAAATGACAAGCCCAAGGGAAGGCAGACAGTATTGAGCTGTCCCCAGTGATGTAATGCAGCTCGTATGTGTAAACCTCTGTACACCTCCATTGTCCTAAATATTTTTAATGGTTTCTATTTGTATGTTTCTTATTTTAGAGGTGTCATTGGAGTGACATGTTCACAGGGAGACTAAGGTCTGAGATCCCTCCTGCTTTGGTAAGTAAAAACTAGATTTGAGACTTCTGACTAATATGACTTCTTTTCTCACCTGTCATGCTTTTTGTGGGAGTGAGTTGATCTTTATCTACACTCTTAACACTAAGTGTATCAGAATAGGTGAATGATTCTTTTTTTTGCTCCTTCTGTACGAGGTGGAGAAGAGTTGATAACAAGCCAAATGCTAGTCCATGCTAGTGAAGAAGCTTGTGACTGGGGAAAACATCCTCGTGATCTGATGAATAGAATGGGAACTACACTTTCTAATAAAAGCATATGGCCATCTCTTCCAAGAGCATTACGGAGCTTCTTGCCTCCTTGAGTACTGTGAAGCAAAAGCATGACAAACTCAACAGAATGAGAGCGATATTTCTTTTAGCAGTGTAGAGCAAAAACTCACCTTGAAAAATGTGTATTTGACCTGAAGGGATGGGATAACTTCTGGGTATCTTTAGCTTAATTTGCACAACTTCTCCTCTGTCTTTAGCTGTAAAGTTTTATTTCCCTGAGCAGCTTTGAACATCTTCAAAGTGGAAATTTTTTGCAGCATCACTATCATACCTAGCCACTGCAGTGATGCTGTCACTAAAAGTCAGTCCACTCCCTCCCTCCCACCCACTGCCATCTGTTTCCTTACAGATCTCTTTGGGAGATGCACTCATCACTGCTGGAGCCCAGCTGGTGGAGCTGGACCTGAGTGACAATGCCTTTGGGCCAGATGGTGTGCGTGGCTTTGAGGAACTGCTGAAGAGCCCTGCATGCTACACCCTACAGGAACTCAAGCTCAATAACTGTGGCATGGGAATTGGTGGTGGCAAGGTAAGGGTTGTCTCCTTTTCGGGAATGAGGTCAGAGCCAAGACTTGGCTTCAGATGGCCCTACAGAGAACCACAGAATGATTGAGGTTGGAAGGGATCTTTGGTGATCATCTAGTTCAACTCCCCTGCTCAGGGCAACTAGACCATGTTGCTGAGGGCTGTGTCTAGTCAAGTTTTGAGTATCTCAAAGGCTGGAGACTTCACAGGCTCTCTGGATAGTCTATCCCAGTGTTTAACAACCCTCACAATAAAAAAGGAGGTTTTGTGTTTAAATGGAATCTTCTCTGCATTGGTTTGTGTGCATTTATGTCTGTCTCTGCCTTCTTTATACCACCTTCTCCCACTATCCTGTTATTCTGGCTGTTCTTATGCGTGGATAAGATGCCCCCTCCCCAGAGCCTTCTCTTCTCCAGCCTTAATAATCCCAGCTCTTGGCACTCTCCCGGTATGTAAAATTCTCCAATGCCGTAATCATCCTTGGGACCCTTTGCTGGACTCACCCCAGTATGTCCATCTAGGAGCCTGGAACTGGACACAGTACTCTGATTTCCACAGGACTGAATAGAGGAGAATGATCACTTCCCTTGACCTGCTGACAATGCTTTTCCCAAGGCAGCCCAGCAGACTTTCTTTGCTCCAAATGCATATTGCTGACTCTTAGTCAACTTGTCACCCACTTGGAACCCTGGGTTCTTCTCTGCCAGGCTATTTTGCCCCCAGCTGACCCCTAGCTTATGCTGGTACGTGGGGTTATTCTTCCCTGTTTGCAGGACTTTGCATTGCCCTTTAAACTTAGTGAAATTCTTGTTGGCCCATTTCTCCAGTCTCAAGATCTCTTCCCTCTATATGTTTTCATGGATAAATTTCTGAAGTATGAAGAGCTCATCTGTTTTTCCAGTATAGGAAAACACTTCTATCCTAAACAGTAGATTCTGTGTCAAGAGAGCTATTAGCCTTGGGTTTGAGAGAACAGTATTTCCAAGCCTAGCACTGAAAGGATGCCTGTTGGTTGAGGCAGAAAACTGTGACTAACTGTCATTATCACTAAAACCCTATGTGTTTGCCAGTTTAAGAATAAAAGGTTCTTCACAGAGTCAGTGTGTTCTAGTCTTGCAAAATTATCACTTCTTGCCCAAGACTGTAGTGTGCAAGTGTTGTAATTACAGACAGGTTTATTGTATTGTATACCCTACTGTAGAAGCAGGCACGTTTCTATGGTGACTGAAGTATTTCTTGAGAGCTAGATATACAAAACATGTTTGGATTCCTTCAGAATTAGATGCTGAGGTAGTATGAACTGCTTGGTTTATCTTTAGATACTGGCAGCTGCACTGAAAGAATGTCACAGGAAATCAAGTGCCCAGGGCAAGCCTCTTGCTTTGAAAATATTTGTGGCTGGCAGAAACCGCCTGGAGAATGATGGTGCCACTGCCCTGGCTGAAGCCTTTGGGGTAAGTACCAAACCAGAGCTTCTTGACAGCAAATTGGAGCAAGGTGTGCTTAAGTACTAATTTTAAGGGTAACACTCACAGAGCTTGCTTCAGCTTGGAGGCAGTGGCTGGTTATTGGTTCACTAAAGTCATGATGGTGTTTGCTACTGAAACTGGAGTCTTCAACAAGTGCAGTTAGAATTGATGACTGAATGTGACCCAGTTTCCAAAGCCATAACTAGTGTCTGTGTAAACTGGTTACTTGAGGAAGAAACAGGCATCTGTTGAGTAATTTAATAGCAGTCCTATTTCTTCTCCTCTCTCTGTGCTAATGGAGGTTATCTGGCACTGGGGTAGGTGTACCAGCTGACCTCTTACATGCTTCTTTGCCTAGTTGTTCAGTTGTCTGGCAAAAGCAACCTAGTGTTTTTGCTAGGATCATCCTGTGAGGGCTCTAAATGCTCCCTAGCTTTCTCTAGCTGTCACCAGCAAACTTGCATTTTTGGAGGAAGAGAATTCATTGTGGTTGGGGACACCTAGATCTCATCTTCCATTGCTGCTAAAAGTGACTTCTGAGTGTTAATGCATATCCTCACGTATATTAACAATGATATTGCAGGTTATAGGTTGTTCTTTTTGTAAAGAGCTGTCTGGATGTGATTTTTGACTAATCAGTAATCATGGCAAGAATAAGACTTCTTAAATACTTGAGAGGCACGAAACAAAGTGATTCATGAGGAACTTAGACTGAATGGCACTACCAAAATGGGATTCATTACTGTGTTTTGTGACATGCTGTTTAGTCCGTAAAGAGTGTTCATACTAATTTTCTTATGGGCTTGTTTCTGCATTGTATTCTGCATAAATGTAGATCTTAATTAGAAAAATACCGTATCCAGTGATGCTGCTGTGTCTGTTTCAGTGTTGTTGAACCACAGGTGAAGAACTCTTGTTTTAAGGTATCCAGAGCAGGCATGCTAGGGGAATGCTACTTGTGACTGTTGCAAGCAGGGCTTTGTGTTACTCTGACACTTGCCATGAACCTGCAGTGTCACTTAGGTTTGTGTCGTAACTGCTGGTAAATAATTCTATATAGAAGAACTAATGGAGTTTTGAGATGGAGGAACACAATTTTAAGCAAATCCTGAAGAGTGGAGCACTATACTCTTGAGTTGAAGTATGCCTCCTAACAGCTTTTTTCATCTGCATATTTTCCCAGATCATTGGGACTCTAGAAGAGGTCCACATGCCGCAGAATGGAATCAACCATCCTGGCATCACGGCGCTGGCCCAGGCCTTTGCTGTCAACCCATTACTTAGGGTTATGAACTTGAATGACAACACCTTCACAGAGAAAGGAGCTGTTGCCATGGCAGATGTGAGTTGTTCTAAGCAGTTGCTTTGGGCTTGTCTTCTGCCCCCCAGTCTCCTCAGATATAGTTAGCTTTAGCACCTCTGGGTTGGTGGAGCCACATGCCACGCTGCAGTGGGAAAGATAACCTTCCAGGAGTGATAGGACACTCATTTACTTGCCTGTCTGTACTTTCAAATTGGTGCTGTCTTACAGACTCTGAAGGCACTTCGGCAGATTGAAGTGATCAACTTTGGAGACTGCCTGGTGCGTTCAAAGGGCGCTGTTGCTATTGCTGATGCTGTTAAAGAAGGGCTTCATAAACTAAAGGTATTGTCGTCTTGCTGTTCAGCTTTGAATATCTTTTGGAGATGCCTAGTTTCCCATTTCCTGTTTTTCTGTCCATTCTCCTGCCATTACTGATTATTTGAAAGTGGGATTCACTTCAGTGCAGGCTCTGTCCTCACATCATAAAAGCAATAAGCTGTATTGGAGATCAGTGGCATTGCCACATCCAGCTAAGGCTATGCTACATGGAGGTGTACCAGTGATCTGTTTAGACTCTGCCTGATGTTTTTGAAGCTGTTGGTTCAACTCAACACGTGCTGTTCAAGAAATCTGATGATAATGGAAGTGTCTGCTTTTAGAACCTCTCAGGGGGTTGTGAGCAGGGACTGAGATGTTCCTTTTTATGAACAGCTTGTAATCTCTTCAGTATTTCAGAGTTCATACAGTTAATGCTTTTTCTTTGTTGGGGCAGGTATCAAAGGTCCAAATATTTTTAGCTTTTTGGCAATACCACAGCCTCCTACATGAGTATTTGCACAGGACTTGCATTTGACAACATTCTAGACAGGCCTAAGTCCAGTCAGTAATGTAGGTAAACTAGCATCTCTAGGAACACCTGCCATGGGTCACAACTGCACTGGGACAGATGCTGAACATGTAATTCCTAATCTTGCAAGTTCATAGTTAAAGACAAAAATTCATCAGAATGCTAATATTTATTTATGTATATGAACCTGGTACTTCAGTAGGTGCTTTGTAGTATGAGACCCTTTGCTCAGGATTCTGCTGGTTCTACTGGAACTTATATCTGAATCTCCCAGGAAAACTCAAGCAAGGAGTCTAATAGTGGTATTGAGATGAACAGCCAGATGCTAATTCCCTTTTTTTAGGGCAGAAGTGGTTAAGGGAGGGAAGCCATGAAGAAATCATAGCTGATTTATTCTGTTCAAGGACTGCTTCCCTTTTGCTGTTAATATTAAATCTCTTCTCAGAAAAGGATTGATTGAGCACAGCATGGAATGGTGGGGGATGGTGCCTGGCTGCTGAATAACTTTACTCTTACTAGTCTGTCCACACAGTTTCTCTGCTGACTGTGTTTATCAGAAGCAGTAACCACTCAGTTTCTTTTGAAGGCCTTAACTTGCAACCTAAGTGTTCAAAAGCAAAGGTGCTGTCCATTTTGTATAGTAGCTACCCTTCAGTAAGATTTACTGGTGTGTGAATTCTGGAATGCTCTTTTGTAACCCTTGAATAAGTGAAGATCTCCAGTCAGCTAAGGACTGAAATATCTGCTACCTTTTAGGTGAGCAGTCAGAATGGTCTGGTCTCTGTGGCTATTTTTTTATTAAAGTGGTTACCTTCAGTAGTGCCGCTCTTCATAGTAGTATGTTTCAAGATGCCCCCTTTAGGTATATGAAGTAGGAGTGTGCGTCAGGTATTACTTCCAATTAAATTTTTTTTTTTTTTTTTTTT